CACACACACACACACACACACACACACACACACACACACACACACACACACACTAAATGCTAGATTTACAACACAGCCACTTACTTGGATCAAGCTTCAGGGCCTGTCTTGCTGGATACCAGTGAGGATCTGTGCCGATCAAACGAGCACGTATGCACACACAAACACAGTCGCAGTGTTGGACATAGCTGGTACCGCACACACAATTTTTTGGCCTCAGGCCCAAAAATAATTGATCACAATGGAATAACGTTGAGCTCTGCTACTCTGATAGATGCCGATGGCCTTGGGCTCAGCAGACATTTGGTAACGTTTCTGACCAGACACATGCTGATGACAGAAGCACTGTGGGCTTCAGAGAAGTAAATAAAAAATAGTTTTTTAAAAGGACAGCTCTCTGGTGAAGAGATTTAATAGGAGGAACTGTAAGATTTTTCATTCAGAGATAGTGTAATAATGTTTTTTTATCCAATAACCACAAGTTGAAGGATTTGTTTACAGTAAACATGCAGTGAAAGATAATAAAGAACTAGGAGCACTGATCTTCTGTGTTTTATTGAATTTTAGTATAACTCAAGTCTTGTTCTATTTATTGACAGGGTTCTAGGTAACAGCAAGACTAACAAAATTACAGCCACGTGTGCTTCTAACAAATCTAAACAGGCTCATTTGTGCGCTACATTACTATAGGCACTCACATGATTTGTGAAAAAGGCTCTTTATGTCTCCTACTGTCGAGTGGGGCTCCACCTTAATGGAACAGAAAGTTTACAGTCATTATAAACTCAACTTTATGTCAGACTCAAGCACTAAATACAAAGCACTGTGTCAGTGAGATTGAAAAGTCATTTTCATGTCCTTATTTATTTATAATTATAAACTTAAGACGTATCCTGGGGGCCTTTGAATTGTGTTAAAATGTCAGCATACCTTGTCTAGAAAACAAAGCTGCTCCCTTGTCTTGGCATCAAGAACTTCCACCTGAAGAATGAAAATGGGGCACCTTTATAATGTATATAACCCACAGAGTAAAAGCCAGATTTAAGATTTCTTTTCAGCTTTGTTGATCACAGTAGCACAAGATTAAACTCTATTGCTACTTTTAGTTATGTATTGCTTTCTTGCAGCTGTAAGGTAGACATTGTTGCACATGTAATCATCACTGTAAAAACACAATTTGAATAAAATATAAACGCCTCAAATAAAATGTGGTCACGTCTGCTCCTAAAATACCTACTGCAAAGTGTGTCCATTTGTCCTTAGTGATATGCTTTCTTGCACACATTTGTTTTCATCTTAATTAGACCATGTCAGCGGTGATGTATAGCATATGCAAGGAGGGTAGGTGGGTGGGCCCACAATTTGCTCTGAAAGCACTCCATACTGTGCTGCTCAGCAGAGCTGTCCTAGCTAAATAGGTTCCTTTACTGGACAGTGTAATAACCCACTAATGGGTATCTGAAAATTTGCTGAGTGCACAGTCACAACAGAGGGAATGAGGATGAGGAAAAGCTCAACATAAAAGCCATCAGCCTCTTTGGATAGAGTGAATGAAGTTTTATAGGACATTTAATTCATACAGAGGTTTAAGTAAAAAGTTTAGCTGAAAACCTCAGTGTTCCATATATAAAATGATTATTTCACCCTTTCACTCTTTGCGATGTGTGAGGATGCTTGCGGGATCTGGAATCAAATCATGCTCATGTCTCAGCAAAGCGCATCGTGGGAGATGGGATTGTTTTGCTTTCCATCTGCCAGCTTTCCCAGCTGCATTCTGGTGGCACACGCTGATGTATTAGCATGCTGGTAAAGAGCATCACGGTGTCGTTGGGCTGCACACTGTGCACTCAGATATGCCATGCCTTTGTAAAACCGATCATTAGGATTTCCTGTCCTCCTGTGCGGGCGGCAGTGCTGACAGCACAGGTTGTACAGAACATGCACATGCTTGCAGAGGCCTTGGGGATGCAGGGGAAATTTAAGTAAATGTTTAAATAAACACTTATTTTATGTTTGCTGGGTAAAGTCTGAGAAACTCAGCTTGCCAGCTTTTTAATTTAAAAAAAAAAATTGTTTTTGGACTAATATAACTAACTGATAAAACTGGAGAAAACTCTCATCCATAATCTTCCTCGTCTTCTAGCTGTTCCCTTTAGGGGTCCCCACACCTGCTCATCTCCACCCTACCCTCCTCCATCTGCTCTGCTACATCCAGCCCTCTGCATGTCTTCCTTCATCCTCTTTTCCTCCTGCCTCGCAGCTCCATATTCAACACCCTTTGTCAAGTATATCCATTGTCCCTCCTCTGCATGTCCTTCTCTAACTTTGTTTCCAAACCGCTCAGCCTGAGCTGTCGTGCTAATATTTTCCTTTCTAATCACAAATCTAATAATCTCTGGCACTTCCAACTTGGCCTCCTTTCTTTTTATTAGTGCTGCCATCTCCAAACAATATATCATAACAGGTTTCACCAGCATCTTTATACCTTCCCTTTCACTCTTGCTGCCACCCTTCTGCTACAAATCACTCCTCATACTTGTCACCACCCGCTCCACCTCACCTGCACGGTCTCCTTCACCTCTCGTGTGCACTGTCTGTTGTTTTGGATGGCTGGTATTTAAACTCATTAACCTTTCACCACCTCTACTCTTCATAGCTTCACTGTTCAGTTTAGTTCAATTCAGTTTTATTTATATAGCACCAGTTCAACAAATCCCCTCAAGGCTACTGTTGTTGTGAGCTGTCTTCCTCCCATTCAAAAACATGTATTCTGTCTTGCTTCTACTGACTTTAATTCCTCATCTCTTCAGTGTATACCTCCACCTCTTCAGACACGTTTCCACCTGCCCCACAATCTCGCTACAGATCAAAATGTGACCGGCAGACATCACAGTTTACAGACTCCTGCCTGACCTCATCTGTCAGCCTGTCCGTCACCAGTGCAAACAAGAAGGGGCTCAGAGCCAGTTTCCCTTTGAACCCATCTGTCACTCCTAGTGCACACCTCGACACTATCTCGCTGTCTTCATAAATGTCCTGCATGACCCTCACACACTTTTAATTTTTTTAAGTTTTATAAGATAGACAGACTATCTAGACCGTTTCTCTTTCAGTCAAGGACAGTAATTCACCTCTTAGTTTGTCTTAAATTTTTCATGTGTGTCTGACCTTGTACAGTACACACAAATAGACACAAATGACAGTCCACTACTTAAATGGCTGTTTCATGAAGTTGAAGATGACGTTTCCTAAGTGAAGGATGAAGTACGTCTGAAAAGCCTCCAAGGCATCAAGGTAAAGATACTCTCTTAAATATTGTAGTGCCAATCTAATGGCAGCCTGAAGTTAAAGGAAAGTTAAACATTACGGCAAATGTGCCTCCATCCTGCAAAACCTCTTTTTTTCTTATATATCAGAAGTAGAGGATCAGTACCATTTTTAAAACTGTCCAGTCAGTGTGAAGGTGGATTTTCTGGCTGTCTTACTGTAAAGACTGGAAGCTTAACTATTTCCATATTTTCCACTGTGACTCAGTTTTTTCAATAACAGCTTCTGAGAGCATGGCACACTTCCCAGAGCATGTTGTAATTAGCTCGAGTTCATAGGCCTGCTGCACTTACAGCAAATTACTTGTCTGCTTCTTCATTAAAGCTTGTCAGGCCCTTAAGCCAAAACTGAAGGCTACAGAAAAATCATAAAAACACCACCAGCTTTGAGCTTATCTGGACAATAAACTTGGACTTTATAAACTTTCCGATCCCTTTAGAACAACATGTAATATTTTCAGCCTTGTTAAGTTTTCCCCAAATTTGGCTGCACCTCTTATCACTCTCCTTTGGTCAAGTGCCTTTCAGTAACTCACTCTATCAGGAAGTGGCAGTTGCCCGTGTCATTTATTCAAGTAGCAGTAAAACTGTGCATTGGCTTACCTCAAAGAAGGTGGTCCGGCTCATGGCGGTGGCTTATTTTTGATATGTCCTCTGTGCACACGGTGAAAGAATGGCCTTAACTATTAGTATGAGCAAACAAAACACATGCACAGATCCCTCTCACACATGCAGAAATTGCTCCTCTCCTTTCAAAGACAAACCCTGTACTGACCCTTATTCTTCCGAGTCTTCACCACGCTCTCCCTCTCTGTCTCTCTCACCCTTCCTCTCTTTATCTGTGATAGTGCTGGGAACACAGAATCACTAGAGGCACTGTAGAGATCCTGCTCGTGGTTTTACTCTTGATTTTCTTTTCTCCAACTTCCTCCTCCCCCCACCTCCCTCTGTCTTTCACTCTGTGTTTTCCCTGTTTGTTAAAGTATCTTTGGAGAACACTCTTGGCTCATAAGTCTGTGTTGGCTCATGTGGCCACTGGAAACTGAGATGGAGTGGAGTATGCACAAGAACAGCAGTGTTTCAAAAATACACAAGATGGCACAAAACTTGAAATTCTCCTGTGGATAAAATGGTCTGCTGCAGTGGCTAAGAGTGCAGAAATGGAAGAGCAAGAAATAACTATAACTCCCTTGTGAAAAGAAATACTGATGAAAAATGTCAGTTCATTTGAGATATTTGAGACTTCATTAATCTAAATGTAAGTCTTAAAATGCAATATTGAGCTGTGCCACAAGAAGAGGACAAAAGTAGATTATTATGGAGTCACACTGTAATCACTTTTAATTGAGTGCATGTAGTTCACACATTCTGGTGAAAAACTGTCTTCAGCGTGAAGTCATCCTCACAGTTGAATCCTGTCAGAGTGAAACCTTTAACACTTTGAAAGTGTTTTGTTGTTTCCAAAAGTATCTTTGAATTCTAAGGTCTCTCCACCTGACTATTTTGTGAGGTTTTACTTTATGGTTTCTTATAAAGCGTTACATTCTTTCTGGTAACACCTGCAATGAAAAGAATCCAAATTGAATATGACTAAAAGAAGTTTGTCGCAATAGCAACAACAAATTTTTACAAGGATAAAAGATGTTTTCACAGAATATTTTTCTGCTGATTGTCCACACACTCCTGAGGCGGCTCTATATGCTGTATGCACAACACATATGCTACGTTTACACAACTGAGGTCCATAATAAATGAATGGACTGGTGCTTCCATAGTGTTTTTCTATACTAACTTTTTTCTACACTTAAGCACGGACAATAACAGTCTGATGGATGCATTGGGACAACTCGGAGTACAGTATCTTGCCCAAAGATGCAGACTGTCTTTGGGTTCACTTACCCCTCCTGCACAGCCTTGGTGAGACATTTTGAGTTTGCATTGCCTGCTTAGTAAGTTATTTTTTTCTAACCTGCTTTTTTTTTTTTAGTAGTTTTTCCACATGCACTTACTCAGCATTTTCTCCAGTTGTCCCCTTCAAAGGTAGATTCAGACACAAAAAACAAGTTGAGAACATCTCCTCACTTCTGTTGTTGTGATACTTGAGGGGGATTTGGTTTGTGGGATTGAAAGGCTATTGGATGCTAAACCAGACTCTAAAGGCCTCAGTCAAAATGATTATTCACTGTACAGTATAAGACTTGGTATCTGTATTTGTATTTGTACAGCCTCTTACTCCCTGAGCAGGTATACAGAAATGAATAACCTTTTTAATTTGATAATACCACGTGGCACATATGTTATTTAACTTTTTGTAAATATATTAATCATAAATCTAGGATGTTTCACAGATCCAAAATCAATCAGTGTTGTCAAATTAAAACTCATATACCTATATCCGTGGACATAAAGGTTCAGTAGCTATCAGCACTGTTTTCATCTTCTTTCTTTCTCCTTGATGCCATGCTTCACTGAAAGTTTCAAATATCTAGAATGAAAATCTTTCTTAATCAAAGAAAGTGGAAGATTTTTTTCAGGCATCAACTTTCCTTAAATTATCTCGATAGTCTTAGATTCTTTTTTTAAAGAACGCTCGAGCAACTTCCAAAGGAATGATGGATTCAATCTATGCAGTGGTGTGCTGTTTGATTTTATTTGATGTGCTCATCACTTAAAAACATACACCAGCACTTTTTTTCAGGAATGTTCCCACTGATTGACTGCAAACTACTGATACTAATTGCAGTGAATAAAAGGTTAACCAAGGTCAAGTATCACACTAACATGTGAAGCTGAATATATGTGCCAGGTGCTACTTGTACAGTAGTAGATACCTTATTAGAAAAATAACACATGACAACTTGAGGAATAATGTTTTAGGGAATTATATTGAACAGACTCCCACTTTGAGTTCCTTATACCATGTAGGATGAGACTGTCCTCTGCTGGTCAGTGTGGTCAGTATTTCTTGGTGACCCTACTGTGGCTGTTTATCTAGTTCTGCATGCTCCACAATCCCCAGCTGTTTTTGGACCACACATTAAACTTTAGATGCTAAACTGATGGCCAGTTAACAGGTTAGAGTTTGGTAGATACTTTCAAGGCAAACACATAATCTATCTTTATAAAAAACGCGCTCGGGATCATGTATTTTGCAATTCGCTAAAGGGGGAAATTATTAGAATTTGTTGTGACTTAATTATAGTGTAATATGCTTATCTTGGAGTTTAATGGGCAGTTTCGGATTCGCTGTTTAAAGCTTATTCATGGTAGCTGACTCCTATGTTAAAAAAAAAAAATTCCAAGTCTACATCAGGTCCTGTCGCCTGCTGATCCCATGGGCCATTATTGATTTTTCCATCAGGCTGCATCACCCTCTAACCTCCGAGAGCTCCGGCTCATTGTAGTTTGGGGCTCTTTTTTTTGTCGGGATGTGGAGTTTAGTAGGAAATGAGCTAGAGGCTATAGCTAAATGTAATCAGCTCACTGCTGGGTGAGGGGGTGTGATGGTGGCTGGCAGGATGTCTCCTTCACTTTCTCTGTCGAGACCTGAGGCGGCGACCCTGTGCAAGAAGACATCGTGTGTCCACGCAGTGCATGCACATGCATACCGCCAAGTCTATGACGTTTAATGCTGAAAAGAGGAAGCTTATCTGAGGCATAATATTGGACGTTTAGAGATTTGATAAGCCAGAGTGTCTCTCTCTATTGCTTTTTCCTAACAACAATCAAAATACTGTTTATTGTAGTGTTAAATTAGTACATGAGGTTCTTTTTCAATGTACATGAGATAAACTATTAATATCCTAACCCTGGCATGTTAGTGCTTGATGCCTCTAGCAGGAAATATTATAATGAATCTTTAATGCAGACCTTGGTGTTTTTGCATCATGGTTCATACATGAAATATCCTCATGAACCACATGTCCCTTTTTGCAAAGTAACAGCGGAATAAAAACAAAACACTTCAGACGAGAGAAAAAGTCAGAGGACCCCTTCTTAGACTTCCACATATTTGCAGGAAACATTAACTATTCGGAACAGTTCTCCGCCCCCTACCTGAACTGAAGTCATCTATTTAGTGTTAGAGAAAGGTTGGAGGCCTGCAGCACTTCTCCCACCTGGCTCTCATGAGAGCCTCTTATGCTAGTGCTTCAAGGGTTACTGAGGCATGGGCTGGAATTCAAATAAGCATCTGGCATGCCTGATATATAGGGGTTTACTTTGCTTTAAACTGATGCATGCTAAAATTCATTTATTTATTAAATCTATAGCAGATACACTCTTGCAACCACCTCTTCACACTTCAGTGTGGCTGCTGCAAATTGCAATCTATAAACTAATCTACAGTTTAAAGGCAATATATTAGTTTATTAAGGTCTGCTGCACATTATTTGATCATGTTTTCCAGTGAAATCGGTGTATCTCCAATAGGGGGAGATAGTGGCCTTCCACTGGGTAGTACAGGTATCCTGCAGAATCAGTTTTTGAATGAAGCCAGGATCTCTTAAATTCTTAAACCACCTTCTTTCATGTGTCTCTGTTTGATCGTCTTTCTTAGATTCTGGTCTGTGTTGAGGAATCTAACTCATATGGGAGACTACTCAGCCAACCTATTGTTCCTCTTGATGTCTGAGAAGAGAAGTTCTGCTGGAGGTGGAAGTAAATCTAATAAAACTTTAAAAAAAATACAGACTAATTACATTTAACTTCAAGCGAGTTATATGAAGTTTGTCAACTTTAAAATTAAACCTGTAGAGTATAAAAGACAGTCAGCTAAACTTTTACCATTAAACCTTTTTTAAAAGAATGCATTTCCCAATTTTATAGCACTCAGTATTTCTTTATTAATATAAATGATATGTGAGTTAAGAGCATATGGTGATCGAGTTGACGACTAGTAATTCTGAGGTAAATGAAGGAGTTGAGCTGAAGTTATGAGCTATGCTCTGTGTTTTATTTTTATCAAATGAGTTTGAATTTGAAGTAGAATAGAAAATCATGAAGAATTAATCGTTTAGTTTTGGGTATGCTTTACCCAGAGCTGTTTCTGCAGCACAGTGAAAAAAATTACTTTGATTTTTTTCCATTAGCAAAGACTCAAGTGAACTGAGAGAACACAAGTGACTGGGTGCACTAATTTCCAAGGCCAAAACAACCCTTTAATTTATTTATTTTTTTTTAGAAAAACTAATGACTTGTTAAAAAGAAATAATGAGAATTCTGTGAAATGACCTTCGTCAAAATCCATTTGTGTGGAAAATGGCACACTCCAGTCTCTCAGGTATGTCATTCACTACAACACAATCTCAGCTTGATTGATTTTTGTTCAGCCTACAAAACATATTGGTGATAAATATGAAGTTTCAAGTAGTTAGCTTGAAAGTGTTAGCTAAAAAGTGTAGAATACTAACAAGCTAGCTAACAAGCTAATTTGGCCTGACACTGAGAGATTATGAAGGTAAAGGGGTTTTAGCCTTGATAAAACGTGTGATCTTTTGCATCTGTTAGTACTAATGATTATATTAATCACACTTTCCCCACTGCAAGTAAAAAAAGGAGCTTTTCTCATAGAAGTTGCTCCATCACTTTCATGCACAAACACGTAATTTTTAGCTAACCCTAACTCTGTAAGTCTTCAATGTGTTGACAATCAAGCCTGCAACAATGTCTGTTGTTAACAACGCTGATGCCTGCATCGCAGCAAAGATGAAGTAAATGTTTCACCACATAAACTGCAGATATGAGGCGCTCGTAAGGAGGGATGTCACTGCTGCTTTTTGTTGCCTTGTCAGTGCTACAGGGAAAAGATATTACCACTGCTGCGGAAGATATCCCGAGTAATCAGTCAACATATTACAATGTGTCACTGCAGCCTCACACATCATTGTTTTCATTAGTTTTACTCAAGTAACGTCATCTTCATTGTCCAGACAGATGGTAAAGCAGTCAGCTGCACTGGCAGCTATTATG